GTGCTTATCCTTTATGCCTATTTGGTTGCCTTTTTAGATACCAAAATGTGGTAAAAAAATATTGCATCAGGTGGCGTAGTAATTTGATATAAATCTGCGTCTAAATTTAGTTAGCACTATGGCATAATTTCTGACTGATTTTTTAGATACATGATTAAGGAGACATCATGGTAGTAATCTGGTAATGCCTGTAACTCTTCTAGAATTATCATAAAACTGGTGTAAAATTGATAAGAAACTAGTATAATTTTATTAATTCGTCAGTTTCAGACCACTTATATACCAATTTAAATGTCAAATTATTATATTCAAAGTTCTGGCTAAAATTATGATAAAGAATAGTGCTAGTTAAAATTTTCGTTAATTTTACTACGCCTTTAGTTCCTGATACTTTCTCACAACTTTTTTGCCACTTTCATGCAACTTTCTCATTACTTTTGAGAGATATTTAGGCTTCAGTCTGGTATTTTAATTGGTTAGAAAATCAGAGATATAATGTGATAATACTAGCAATGCAATTCTGTCCCCTTCTTAAGTATCCAATATATATCATATTCATTCAAGTACATACCTAGGAAAGTATAGTCGTCTTCCAATTTTTATATAATAGATTACGAAGAAGACTATACTATTCAGATATATCTGCTTACCTTTTATTTATGATTTGCTTACTAGCTTACTATACGTTTCTTTTTTCAGAGAATGAAAAAATTAATTAAACATTTTAGAATTATATTGTGATATAATAACTTTACCTACTGTCATTATGCATACCACAGCTATTTCTGACTAACTGATTGCACTGAAACTGCCCATTATAACAGTGCTAGGTTTTTAGCTAGTATTCTATTATGTAATGAGATCATAACAGAATATGTAATGGGATGACTGCTATACTTCAACAAAGCCTATTTAGCAAGCAATCCATATATTTCATGTCTACTGAAGTTAGTAATAATACTAAATATATAAATAGGATCTCTACCTATATTTTACACATTGTGGTTACTTGATTAATGAGCAAAAGGCAGTTATAAATATTATAGGTATCTGACTTTTCTTTGATGTCAAAATTTCTAAAGAGATGCTATTATCTATATTTAAGACTAAATTAGTAAGAATACTATCTAATATTCTTGATAGCACATCAAAGTTTAGAATCGAGACTATTAGTGCTTATCCACTTCAAGAATACTATGCAGAAAAGAAACCATATATCCGTGGGAAAACATGGAACTACTATAACTAGTATAATACATTAAAAGCAGTCTGTACTATTAGAATATGTACAGCCTCAGATGATTTAAACTAATGATAAGTTTTAGACATGTTCAATTGATTAATTAAATTGGACAGTTTTAGACAGTTTTGGATTTATCCAAAACTGTCTAAAACTGTTCAAAATTTAATGGATTTTGGATACGTTTAAAACTAATTCATGACTGTCTAATTGAGTTTTGAATAAGTCTAAAACTGTTCAAAATCTAAAATTAGAAAAAAAACTTATTCCAACATCCAAAAATTATAATTTACCTTTAACTATAATACTTTACCTTGCATCATATCTTGAAAAAAAGTACGACAAGAGGAAGTCGATATTCTAACTAAAACCTCAATCTATGCTTTATTAAATTCTTTGGTCGATTAATTGACATCTTTAGTAGAAAGAATTTTAAGAACTCTCATTCTGTTAACCTATTTAATTCATTTATTTAAATCAAACTGTTTAGATTTATTGTCTTACTTTATTAGTTTGCGTTTTGCTTATCTGACTATTCCTATTGTTTTCATAGCTTCACTTGTTTTGATGAAATTGAGCAGTAAGTTTGACTTCTCTTGAATTTTTTTTATATTAATTTATTGATTAATTTATTTATTTATTTATTTTTTTTTATTTTTTAAAGGATTGGTAGCGAGATTGAAATTCCTTTCAAAAGAAATGCTAATAACTTAGATTTGAATGATTTCTGCAAGTAAGTTTTGAACAAGTTTAACTGCAATTTTCAAAAAAATTTCACTAATTGAACTTTTAATTAGACTTATTGAAAACAATCACTTCTAATTCATGTCAATCTGTAGAAACTTGGGTATATAATGAAAAAAATTATCCTTTAGTCCTTATAATCTGAAGTTCAGAAGCTTTCATCAGAAGACATTCATTCTAGATTATCTCATCAATCTGATGTGAAAATTTCTGTTCAACGAGATTCTTTAAATCTGGGTTTTTTATAGGGAATTCATCACACTGATCATAAATGTATAAAACCTTTAAATCAATAAAATAATCGAGAGATCCATTTATAATAATTGTATATGAATAGCGATAAAGATGTATTATTATTTATCATATCTAAATATGAAATTGGAAGAAAATGACCCTAATGCTTAAAATCAGAAGGTCAAATATTACTAGGTAATTTCTTTATAGATAATTTTTATAACAATTGACTTATTGTAATGTTATTTTGTTTCTAGGGTCTTGGTACTTCTAATTTCCATGAAGCTAAAGATTATCTTAAAAGTCTAAGACATCATAAAAATCTTTTAGAACTCTTTAAGAAGATGAACAGAAGTTGATTAATTTGATCTTTAATAATAAGAAAGCAAGAAATGGTGTATATAGTTTTTTTTCTGTTTTCTTGATTCTAATCAAAATGTAACTTCTCTAACAAAAATTCCACATTCTAAAAACTTTATATTCTTCTAGCCTAATACTTACATGAATTATGATGAGGAAGAAATCACGATAGAGAATTTTATAATTAAAAAGTTGATCTTGTTCAGTCAAACTAATTATGAACGTTCGATTCCAAAAGATTCTCAACAGATTAAAACTTAGCGAGAGAAAAGTTTTGTATACATACTTTAAGAAAAGTACAAGATCAAAATTAAAGTTTCTTCGTTAGTCAGAGCTATTTTAGAACAAACGGCATATCACCATAGTGATACAAGTCTTCAAAGTATAATCATTTCAATAGCTTACGATTTTGTTCAAATAATATCAACATCCTTCATAACGAAAGTTAATTTGGTACAAGGGCTTAAGGAGGAAAGAATGTAGCTAGTACTTATTATATTAGCGTTTTTATGCCTGCATCTCAAAAAATAATTCATTCTCATAATGACTATTATTAACATATTGTAATAATAACGGTCAGCTAGTAGAATTAGAATGGTATTTGCTAATTCTGCCAATGATCCTTGTTAATAGATCTGAGAATATCAGAAATGGTGAGTTTATTTAAAAGCTTGCATATTAAGTAATTCAAAAAATATATAATAATAATCTTAATTTATCTTATAATTATTAGATTAGAGTTCATTATTCCAAATTACAATCCTCACGATATTGTTAACAATTTAAAATGATTAATTAATAATAAAAAGCTAATCCCTAGTATTATGGGTTCTAGGTAATATTATTAATAATCAGAATTCTCTAATGGATTTTGAATTCTTCAAATTAAATTATATTTTACATAATTTATAGAATTAAGTTGATCGTGTAAGCAATAACAGATATAAAATCAATGGCAAGATCTATTAAGTCCATTTGAATTACTAAAGAAATGCTTGTAAAAAATGTTTTAAGATGAGCCTGATTATCAGAATGTTAAACATTATATGTTTCAATAGTAAGAGTCCATCAGGAAGTTTCAAATAGGCATAAAATGTGTCAATATACGTTATGTATTGATCAACATCAAAAAGTGTTGATATACGAACCCTATGTCAATCAACGCTGTTTAAAAGGGCATTGATTAATACATATTAGATGTAAAACAATACATAGTGAAACAATGGTATTATACGATGGTGTTGAAAAATGAGTATACTAGTATTGATTAATGTATTGCTTGACGCAAAAATACAATAGAAATCACTGTAATTTATGGTAATTTTTATTATAAATTTTTACACTAAAATGTATATGTATTTCAATACATTATAAAGTAAAATTGGTTAATTTATAATTAAAGGCGTTAAACACATTTAATCCATAAAATTCGCATCATTTTCTAGGCTTTGATAAAGATTGTATAACTCTTTATCAGTGGAAGCATATTCACTGTATTGCGAGCTATCCTGTACTTCTTTTTCCTCCTCGTACTGCTCATCCTCATCATCCTAATTAAAGATATAACATTATAAGAAATAAAGTTTATGAAGCAATAAATATTTATAATGTTACCTGTTCGTTACGTTCAATAATATCTTTCTACAACTCAATCACTTCGGTATCAATTTTCGTCGAGAGATATTCAACATCAAAAATTATTTCAAGCACTGATTAAGTCCAAATAGCATTTTCTTGCGTTAGTTCCTTATCGGATGCAAAAGCAGACTTGATGATCAACACGACATATGTGTTCGATGACGGATCATCTGAATCACTTGGGCAATATAGATCATCATATACTGCTTTTACCTCTTTGCTTGTCTTCCAATCTTTTATTTGCTTCTTGAACCAGTTGTCTCTAAAGGGCTTAATCCTGTTAAACCTGAAGACAGACCATAGGCTTTCTTTTACATGGCGAATATAGTACACCTTCTTGATACGATTCGCCCTAAGCAACTTTAGTTTATTCAAATAAATTATTAGTTAATAAATAACATAAATTATAATAACTAAAAATATAAATAAAAATATTAACAGCTGAATATAGCTTTTCATCTTATAGATCGTCGTAACTAATGTCATTGTCTTTCAGTTTTTGAAGCTGATTTGTGCAATATTCATTGCCATCTAATTTTACCTTTAGGCGTACTTTAAGTTCATTATCTGTTAGTTGCTTGTATTCGTGAAATAACTCATAGGATAATTTTCAAATCGCTTCCTGTAATATAAATTAAGTTGATAATTAAAATCAAGATAGAGTAAACAAAGAAATAATAATAAACATGCATATGTTTACTTGATAAAATTCGATTCTATTTTTCTTTCCTTTATCTTTACCCTCCTTTTTGCTGTTCCCGATTTCTGTATTGAATTTATGCTCTTCGAATTTTGATAAAATTTCATCAATTTTGTCTTTTTGCTCAATAATAATCGTCTCTAACTCGTCTTGCCTTTTTGAAATTTGATCAGCTTCACACTGTTCTTTTGGCAGAGCAGCAACAATTTATCTAAAGTGCGCGAATCAACGGTAGCTAATTATAATAAATATATATATATTAATAATGATAAATATCATACAATAAATATGTTTGTAACGTATACTATAAACTCGAACCTTTGGCAGTTTTTTTGCTTTGCGTAGATGGATGCGACGACAATGATAATAAAACACCAGTTGATTGCATTTCTGTTCATGATGAAGATGACGAGATGCTAGCCAATTGCATTTCCGTTGACTGATATAAAAATATGATAAATATATTAAAAATTTAATTTAATATAAAGATATCAAATGAAATAATAAAAACTCACCATTAATTGAGAAGGCGTGATTTTTTTAGGGATAGAGGTAGTGATGTTAGGCTTGATGATTTTTTTAGTGGTGGAGGTAATGGTATTGGGCTTGATGTTGGACTTCTTGGTAATAGCAGTAGAGATAGTAGTGGATTTGACGGGTGTGGAGATAGTGGTGGATTTGACGGGTATAGAGATGGTGGTAGGCTTGGCTAGTGTGGGTTTGATGGGTGTGAAGATGGTAGTAGTATCATCGACAGCAACAGGCATCAATTTATTATTGGAAAACAAATTGATATTTTTGATACGGGTC